TTGTTTTGTTTTTGAGAGAGAGGGTCTTGCTAAGTTCCTGAGAGCCTTGCTAAATTTCTGCTCCAAGCCTTGAACTTATGTTCCTTATATTTCAGCCTTCCCAGCCATTGGGTTACAGGTGTGCAACACCATGCCTGGCAAGATACAATCTTAAATGAGTTTTCTGGAGAAAAAAATTTTTACTCCACTAATAAAACTACTGTCCAATTTTTTTTTTTTTTTTGAGGGGGGAGGTACTGGGGTTTGAACCCATGGGCACTATACCATTGAGGTACATTGAGGTACATCCCTAATCCTTTTTATTTTGAGATAGGGTCTCACTAAGTTGCTGAGGTGGGTCTCAAACGTGCAATCCTCCTGTCTCAGCCTCCTGAGTAGTTGGAATTGTAGGGCTGTGTCACTGTGGCCAACTGTCCAACTTTCTTCATAGTGGTAATTCTCTAGAGAATTATAGATTAACATGAGGCAACGCGCACTTAATGAGAATATTAAAATTATTTCTGTAAGAAAAGACGGGGGCTGGGGTTGTTGCTCAGTGGCAGAGTGCTTGCCTTGCACATGTGAGGCACTGGGTTCAATCCTCAGCATCACATAAAAATGAATAAGTGAAATAAAGATATTGCATCCATCTATAACTAAAAAATATATTAAAAAAAAAAACAAAAACGAAAGAAAAGACAGGTAGGTAGACTGAGCATGTGCCTAAAATGTGCAAGGCCCTAGGCTTGATTCCCAGAAACACAAAAAAGAAAGACCAAAAGCTATGTTGTTATCCTGCAAGTATTTTTATGCTTAATACGTAATGCTGTAAAATTCTTTGGTGTCAGAAATGTTTTATGAAATCATCCAAATATTCCCAGCTCCTAGTACACCAAAACTATCATGATAGTACAGCTTCCAGTGTTTCTTAAAATAATTGATCTCTTTTGCTGAAAAGTGAAATATGCCCAATAGAGCAATTAAAGGCTGATTATTTACTTTAGTAAAGGAAACAACTAACAGATATCTTTAAATACTTCCCTAGTATATTTGAAATTGCCTATAAAGATTTAATTTACATTATATTAGGTATATATTGCTTATTAGTTAAGGGATACCTATGGACAAAAGAAGTTCAATTCCTCTTAATTTATTTTTTTAAGTTTAAATACTGGCAATTTTGTTTGGAGCAGACTTTAGTGGGAAATAAAAATTACTGATTCAGAAATAACTCGAGGCATAAGGTCTCCAACAGCATAACCACATACTAAATTACAGACACAACCAACTATAGCAACTTCTGAGACAGCAAGCATGTTATCTGTACATTACCTAGATTCCAACAGACCCTCATCTGTCTGAAATGACACAAACCAAAATTTGCCTTTTTTATGAACTACTTTTTAATTTGGGATTCCTTAAAAGGTTTTGTTTTGCTTCTCATTTTTCCAAGTCTTACTTTCATGTATAAAGGCAGCAGTCATAGGGTCAAGCACAATAACTTAGAGGTTTCTGGACTGGCAACTGTAGCTCAGAGGTAGATGGCACTGTCCTGGGTTTGATACCCAGCACCAAAAAAGGAGAAACAGAAGGAAAAAACAAAAAAACAAACAACAACAACAAAACCCCCCACATTTCTTAGACTCAAATACTGTCTTCTACCTACTAGCTGAATTAATCTCTGTCTCATTCTTCTCAACTCTAAAATGGGAGAATAAAACAGTATTGCCAGGTGTGGTAGCTACCCTGCCTGTAATCTCAGTGGCTCAGGATCCTCAAAACTTCAAAGCCAGCCTCATCAAAATTGAGGTGCTAAGCAACTCTGTGAGACCCTGTCTCTAAATAAAATACAAAATAGGGCTGGGGATATGGCTCAGTGGTCAAGTGCCCCTGAGTTCAATCCTCAGTTCCAAACAACAACAACAACAACTACACACACAAAAACAGTATCTAAGAATTCTGAGCAACAGGCAGTCCCTGGTACATTAGACTAAAACCATAAAACCAAGATATACAATCTACTGAAATATGATTCAGAGGGCTGGGGCTGTAGCTCAGTGGCAGAACACTTGTCCAGCATGTGTGAGGCACTGGGTTCGATCCTCAGCACCACATAAAAATAAATAAATAAAATAAAGTCATGCGTCCATCAACAACTATTAAAAAAAAGTACTCCCACATTTCTCATTATTCCATATATATTAAAATGGTTAAATGTGCTTTCCTCAGCTAAGGTTTTAAAACAGCCACTGGTAAGAAAACTGTTGAATTCATTCAAAATAATGGCTTCCCATCTCCCCAAGTTAAAAGCTCTGAAAACAAACTATCCAGAATGAACTGAAAGAATGTTTTTTTATCAACATGTACAGTTTTGGGTACCCTGTAAAGTTTCACCCAAGTACAGTAAACAACAATGTCAAAACACAAAGCAAATAGTCATTTTTATAAAGAACTTGAAATGATTTTGTTGTAAAACCACCAAGGTAAGTACAGAAAAATTCCTAGGGGAATTGACAAAATAAGTTTATGTGTTTGAAAGAATGTAGAAAGACATATGCTAAGGAAGAGAACTATTTGTTTTACTACTAACTTCGACGATTTTTTTCACAATAGCATTTTAACTATTTTATCTTTTAAAGGGAAACCTGAAACTCAAGTTCCTTTCCAAATACTGAAATTTACTGTTTCTGGTTTCCAATCTATGAAGTTTTGTTTGCAGTTAAAACTTCTGAATCTATTTTTTGTTGGTTTTTAAGAAGTAAACAAAATGACAGTCTTTGTTTAAAAAGGCACAACAATCAGGTGCCACATAACTAAACTGCTTTCATTTGCTGAATTCTCACACCATTGTAAATGTCCCTAGTTTAACAGCACCCGATTTCCTTTCAAGTACAGATATAAAAAATCTTAGAAAAGATAATCCAAAATATCACTCATTACATTTTTGGATGTTAACTTATAGAGTAAAGAAAAGTACGTTCTGTTATTAAACTAAAACACAAACCACCATTAACTCTGTGTCTTCCTGGTAAGCAATATATTAATATCAAAGTTAAAAGCAACAATTTCAATAAATAACAAGCCAACCTCAGAGCACAACGATGGCAGATAAAACTGACACCACAGCACAATTTGAGCTATAAGCAACTACCAAAATCAAAAAACAAAAACCGCACCCATTCTTAAGTAAACTTTTGGAGTAAGCAAACTTTCAGAACCCTACCTTTGTTTCCACCTAACAAAAGAAGTCTTCAATACACCAATAACAAAAAATAAAAACAACTAAATGAACAAAAGATCCAGTTAATGTTTTATAGCGAAAAACTATTAAAAATGTTACGACATGTTAACGAATTTAAGTTATCCAAGAACAAGGTACTTCCCCTAGCTACAGCCATTTTAGATTCAGCCTTTCTTTTGGATACCACGAATTGGGGAATAGAGTTACAACGGGGGGAAATACTGGCTGGAAGACTTCAAGATCACCAGCTTTCTCTCCCCTGGAGAGGAGGCATGGTTGACATTGGTAAAGACAATCTAAATGAAAACACCCTGCTCCCAACGGAAAACCGGGACAGCGGACGTGAAAGTTCCTCTTTTTCCCCTCAGCTATCCCACATCTGATTTACACGACTTTTTCCTCCTAGGTTTTCCTAATAAAAGCCTTTGGTTCTCATTCTAAGGGAAGAAAAAGAAACATGTAAACCGAGCCACTTCACCACCTTGCAGCCGTAACGCCTCGAGAGGAAGAAGCCAGAGAGCCGCAGGTGAGCGTTCCGACCCAAGACTAAAGTGAAGTAGGCGCGCTCTGGCGGCGACGCTCGTGTGCAAAGCTCCACGCGCGCGGGGGAGGGGGTGCCCCGTCCGAACTACACGACCCGTGGGTTCCGCTCACCCATCCCACCGCGGACCTGTGCTCAACCACCTGTGTAAAACCTTCCTCCAACTAGTTTTACGGCTGGTGAGGCACCGGGCGGAGCCCCGCGCTGAGCCAAGGCGCCAGGGTCCCCTACCGCTCCGTAGTCCGGAACTCCCACTCACCAAGCAGCGGCGGGGCTACAGCCAAGGACAAGACGCGGCGTCTAAGGACGCGTCCCCAGTTTCTTGGCCCGGCAAAGGTGACTAGCCCACAACCATAACAAAGCTCTTCCAAAATGGCTGCCCGGCCCACAAGGCCCAGGAGGGGCAGAGTGGGTGGAGGAGGAGCGAAGAACCAGCCGGCCTTCTCCCACCCCCGACCCCGCCTCATACACGCCCACCCGCAAGAGCGCATGCGCACAGGCTCTGCTCCGGTGACACTGCTGGGGACAGCCGCGTTTCAGACTGTCAACGTTCGGCCGAGGGAATGGCGGTTATTCCCTGCCCCGCCCCCAGCTCCCTTTGGCGTGGCTCAAGGTGGTGCACGGTCGCTCTTGCCCTAATGCAGAGTAGAATCCCTTGCCTTTCCTTGTGCTGAATGGCAGAGACCAGCTGAGTTTAGTAGTTTTCCTTCATATCCTCCAGGCCAAACTCTCGGGCCTGGGCGCGTGTGAATGAGTGGGTGGAAATGTATTTGGGTACCCGGTCTTCCCCGCCCATTCTTTCTTCAGCCTCCCACACCCCGCCTCTGGGCTACCTCGCATCGCCGAACTACTTCAACCAAAACTAGCAAATCGGTATCGGAAGGATCAGTGTTTCCCGACCCCTGCCCACCTTCCGCTCCTTCACACGTGCGCGTCCTTGAGACTCCAGCCCCCAGCGGGCCTCAGGGCTCTGCTCCACAGGCCTGCGAGGGTCGGCGCGGCGCGTTACCCGCCGGGAGCCGTAGTTCCTGGGCACCGCAGGCGTCGCGCCCCCGCCCCAACGTAGGGCGGGTTTCTCACCGGGCCTGCGCCTTTCGTAAGGCGAGAAGCTGTTTCTCTTACCCGACGTCTCATTGGGTATCGCAGGACGGGAAGGGGCGGCGCTACTATGCCAGAGAAGGAAATAAAGTGAAAGCCCAAAGACTTTAAAGAGTTATTATTATGTAGAGTTTACTGAGGTCCTATTCTGCAGCCGTATCGGAATGATGGTAACCAGAAAAGTAGACAAGCTGAATCCGGAGGAATGGGGGGAAGTGCCCGGCGTGGGCACCTAGACAAATGAGCTCTTCAAATTGTCTTCGGCTTTATCCTTAAAGACGGAAAGACGCTCAGATTACCTGGTATAATTTCTTTTGACAGACTGATAAGAGACCCAAAGAAGAGAAGGGACTTGCCCAAGGTCACAGAAACAAGAAATAAATTCAAGCCGTGGGTGGCAGAAGGAATCATCCCCCAAACCCAAGGTTCTTAACGCTAACCTTGCTTCATAGAAGTGAAGATCCTGCTTCTTTGTGCTCTTTATTCATTAAAAAAAGTTTGTAGGTCCTAGGAAAGAGAATGAAGTAAAAACATTCCCTTCCCAACAGTAGTAAAGAACAATAACACGGAGTAAGATGTGTCCGGTCAACCCAACTCCGTTGTTTTGCAAAGTAAAATGAGTTCTGGAGAAGGCAATTTGGCCAAGTCACACTTGACCTAGACTCCAAGTCGCCTACTTTCCTCCTTTACCATCACTGAGATTGTTTCAGTTGTTGCACTCTACCTTCCCGAAGCTGCAGGCAGATTCTGTTAGCTTGGAATCCTGGAAGAGAGACCGTTCAGGTACCCTGTTCAACAGTCGACTTCAACTAGAATTGAGATTTTTTTTTTTTTTAGAAGAATGACGTCAAGACGGAAAACCAGGCGTGGGAACGTTTGCGCCAAGTCAGGTTCCCACCCGGACTCATTTTTTCGGGTTCCAGGATGTGAGGAGTATATAACTCCATTTTCCGGAACTGTGCCTTTCCGCGAATCCCTGTCCTTGAAGTTTAGCTTGCCTTTTTTTACTGGCGCGACGCTGGCAAGTAAGTTAAGTATCTGGGCCACAAGGGTGCACGTTTGGAACGCGGTCATCAAGAGATTGGTAGTAATAGAAGAAGCGAGTACTTTTTGCCAAGATTTTCCGAAGATCCTTGCGTCAAAACCCTTCCCCTTTCCTAAAATGTCGGCTTGAGCCTTGCAATTTGCACTCGTTCCATTGAGGAAATGGGAACATTTGAAAGTTTTTATAGGAATTGGAACCCGACGTGGTAGCGCACGCTAGCGACTCGGGAGGCTGAGGCAAGAGGATTACAAGATTGAGGCCAACCTCAGCAATTTAGTGAGGCCCTAAGCAACTTAGCAAGCCCCTGTCTCAAATAATAAAAAGGGCTACAGACGTTCAATCCTGGGACCCCCCCCCCAAAAAAAAAAAAGAGTCTCACCTGAAATGGGTAGATTAGCCCTGGGGTCTTTGTCCTTTATCTCCGTGGTGTCACCGGTTCGTCGTCTTTAGGCTGTCAGTCTTTGCTTTAATACTCATGTGTCACAGTGGTTAGGGAGTCCCTGATGAAGGTAGGGGGAGGGTTGAGATTTTAAATGGTATGATTTGGAAAGCCCTAAGAAATGGATTTTGATCAAAAGTGGAGGTGTGGGATGTCAGGATTTAGGTGTTATCCAAAGTACTTGGAAGCCCACAGATAACTGGCACTTGCTATCCTCCAGCCTCAGCCTCCCCAGTTACCGGGAGTACAGGCCTGTGACTCCAAACCTGGCTAAGTTTTGTTTTTTGAAACATCGAGTTTCTCAAGAATGGGAATATCAGGGGCTGGTATCGAAGCTCGGAGGTAGAGCATTTACCTAGCATGCGTGAGGGATTAGTTTTGATACTTAGCACCACATAAAAAATAAAATAAATGTGTTACGACAAAAACCACATTGTATCATTAAAAAAGAGAGAGAACGGGACTGACAGATTTAGATTCACAATTTCACTCATTTCCATTAACTTGGTTGCTTAAGTTAATCAGGTTCTTTACCAGTCCCTCCAGAGTAAGACAAGAATAACTGTTTTATTTTGTTTTTGTATTGGGGATTGAACCTAGAGTTGTTTAAACACTGAGCCACATTCCCAGGCCTTTTTTATGTTTTTAAGAGACAAGGTCTTGCTGAGTTGCTTAGGGCATTGCTAAATTGCTGAGGCTGGGTTTGGACTTGAGATCCTCCTGCCTCAGCCTCCTGAGCCACTGGGATAACAGGCGTAGGCCACCACACCTAGTTTAAGAATAACTGTTAATATTGAGTGCTTGCTTTGTGTTAGGGACAGTTCTCAGCTATTACATTTAACTAAACTTTTACAACCACCTGTGAAGTAGCTGTTACTACTCTTACTTGTTTTTGTAGTGCCAAGGATTGAACCCAGGGATCCCTGTGCCCTAGACAGTCACTCTGCTTTGGATCTATACTCCCAGGCCCTTTATTTAAAAGGTGAGTGAATTGCACCATAACAATGTTAAGTAACTTATCCACAGCTAGTAAGGGGTGAAGCCAGGGTTCCAACCCAGATTGTTTGACACCAAAGTGTTCACTCTAATAGGTCAGTCTGTCTCAGTATCCAGTTACTAAGGTTATTGTGAGCAGTAAAGTTAATGCATATAAAACATGTAGTTTTGGTGCCTGGCTCATAACTAAATTGTATTTGTTGCTGCTGTGATTATTTTGAGCTGTAAACTCTTAAGCTCCAAAGTAGATAATTAAGGTGGATAGATAATTAAAAGAAACAGAGAGTCTATGGCCTTCAGTTTTAAAGCTGGGACTCAAGGAAAAACTGTGTCCAATATCACACAGCTAGGGAAGTGGTAGAGGCATTTGTAAAATTCAGATCTTCTATGTCTCTGTGCATTACTATTTCTGTTAAACCAAACAGCCAAAGCTAAAAGGACAGTACAGGTGAGAAAAATATATATTTCCTTCATGTGTTACTGATTCTTTGAAAATGTTTGTGATTCTTTTCAAAGGAAATTCTGTTGTATGGAAAAAATTCTCATGAGTTACTACTTTTAAAAATTAATGTGTTAAATGGAGTAGGATGGTACATACCTATAATTCCTGTACTGTGGAGGCTGAGGCTGGAGGGTACAAGTTCAAGGCCAGCCTCAGCAACTTAGCAAGATCCTATCTCAAAAATTAAAGGACTGGAAAATTGTGGTGTATATGTGTATTAAGAATTGTAATGCAAAAAAAAAAGTAATGCAAAAAAAGAAAATTAAAGGACTGGGAGGGCTGGGGCTATAGCTCAGGGGCTGAGCACTTGCTTCGCATGTGTGAGACACTAGGTTCGGTCCTTAACACCACATAAAAATAAAATAAAGGCATTCTGTCCATCTACAACTACAAAAAATTTTTTTAAAAATTAAAGGACTGGGGGCTGGGATTGTGGCTCAGCAGTAGAGCACTCGCCTAGCATGGGCGGGATCCGGGTTCAATCCTCAGCACCACATAAAAATAAAAACATTGTGTTGTGTTCATCTATACCTAAAAGATAAATGTTTAAAAAAAAAATTAAAGGACTAGGAGTATAGCTCAGTGATAGAGTGCTTACCTACTGTGCAAGGCCCTGGGTCAATCCCCAGCACCACATACACATAAAATAAAAATTAAAAAGGGTTGGGGGATATTAGCATCCACAAGTCCCTGGATTCTACCCCAAGTACTGGGAAAAATGTATAAAATGAGGAAAATTAAATGATACCTTGTTTTATATACAGCAGCATGCTTCTGATGTAAACCCTCCACTTAGATGTAAAAATACAGTAATCAGAACTGCTCGACATCTTCCTGAACAAGACTTAATAGGGGCCAGTATGCTTCACTTCATCCAGAGGTTTTCTCAAGCATCTTCAAAGGTTGGTTTATTCAGCAAATATTAAGCACTGTTTGCCAAAAACTGCTGTGGCTGGGGCAGTAAAGTAAAAATGACACAAATTCTTATTTTTATGTATTCAAGTGGGGGAAGGAGAATTGGATAAAATACAAAGTAGAATAGTAATTCAAGTAGTAAGTATTGTGGAGAACTATATAGTGAGAAAAGGGAATAAGGAATATCAAGAATAGTGTTTCATATAGCAGGGTCAGAAATGAGGGACTGGACCATACAGATAGCTGGAAGAAGAGCATTCCAAATCTCCATTTGGGGGAATCTCCAAAAGGGGGAAAAGTTTTGGGATCATTCCTAGCATGTTTGAAGAATCATCAAGATTCTTATATAACTGTTAAAACTTTTAGTTTCATCCAATACTTTTTTAGATTATTGTTCTGCTCAGTTGAAGTCTAGCATCTGCTTACTAAAGCATTGTATAAGAAGAAAAGGTAATTACTCTGGCTATGTACCTTTAAAGGCAGTGAAAATATATGGTCCTAGCTCTTGAGTCTACTAAAACAATGACAGTTAACACATAGTTTTAATTCACTGTGAGAAGAATTATGGAAGTTTGCATAGGATATTCACACAGGAGCCTAAAGTCAGATTGGAGAGAGATTCAGGAAAGCTTAAAGACAAATTTTAAGAAAAAATGTAAATAGTAGGAGCTAGAACTCTAGGCAGAGACATGTCCAAAGGCATAGAGCTATGGAAAGTATGCAGTGTTCATAAAGCTAAATTGGAATGTAGATTTTCTTTCATAAAATAGCCTTCCTACAGTAATCACTTCTTCTTTTGTACTTTATAAATAGAAGAGATAAACAATTAATAGACAGATAGAAGAGACAGTTTAGAAGGGCTAGTGCTAAAGACCTTGTGTTTACCTGCTCTTCATAAAGATATTTCTTCATGGCATAAAATTAGTGGTAGGTCAAAATAGATCACTAGTTCTATTTGCTAGTTTCTTTTGCATGTTGTATAGCAATTTCTGTGTTTCAGTAAGTTTAATAATTCATATATTTTTTATTTTTAATTGACAGGAATTACACATGTTTATGGGATATAGTGTATACTTGTTTAATATACTTGTTTAATACAAACAGGAGGCTGAGGCAGGAGGATTGCAAAAAATAATAACAACAATAACATTACTCTGGCAATGTCATGAGGGAAATCTCTTGTCAGTTCAACCCATCTGTAAAGTTTGATGTGCTAATAGAAAGGGTGATGGTGGTGTTGTGTTTACTTTTTTGTTGCTTCAGATTGGAATTAACTAAAAATCTAGTGGGTTTCATTTTGTTTGTTTTAATTTTGTTTTCTGGTTGTTTTCTTTATAGATGCTTAAGTACCCATTCACAATGAGCGTGGGAACCAGAAGGAGAATAGATATACTTTCTCTGAAATCATCTCTTCATCAGAACTTATTCCTTTTGTTTCCTACATCTTGTGTTTTCCCATCATTTCCAGTATGTATGAGCAAGACACGATGGTATCATACATCCCCATGCAGCTTTAAGAAGAAGCAGAAGCAAGTAGTACTTCCAGCCAGGCCACCGAGCACCATCACTTACCTGCCTGACAGCCCAAAGCCAGCATTATATATAACTTTGGCAGGACTAATCCCTTTCATTGCTCCACCATTGATCATGGTCATGACCAAGACTTATATCCCTGAATTAGCTTTTACTCAGATGGCTTATGGAGCCAGTTTCCTATCTTTTTTGGGAGGAGTAAGATGGGGTTTTGCTCTGCCAGAAGGTAGTCCAGCTAAACCAGACTACCTTAATTTAGCTAATAGTGCAACTCCTATTGTGTTTTCATGGTTTGCCATCCTTTTTTCTGAAGGACTCAGTGAAGCCATAGTCTTAGTAATAATAGGTTTGGGGATAGCATTACATGTTGAACTTTTTCTCTTGCCACATTATCCCAACTGGTTCAAGGCTCTAAGAATAGTTGTCACTTTAGTGGCTTTTTTTTCATTTGTAGTCACATTACTACTTGAAGATATTTATCCAGAGAAAGGACCCAAGTAGAATAAATATAAAACTATTTGATCAAGTAGAATAAATATAAAACTATTTTGTAAAGTTGCATTTTGGCATGACCTTTTATCTCTGTTTGGCTTTTTCCCCTTCACTAGCAGTGGTAGTTCTTTATATGTAGTTTTTCATTTCTAAAAATTATTTCATAGTAATTGCTTGAGAAAGAACAGGAAAATTCCTAACAGGTCTTTGTCATGCCATATTAGGTTGATTTACATTCAGTCTTTCTATGAATGATATGTCATCCACTTAAACATTTCAATGTTTGATCTTTAAAAATATAAAATAAAAAAGCAAGACCCTGGGTTTGATCCTCAGTACCACATAGAAAAATAAGTAAATAAAATAAAGGTTTTTTTTAATCCTGTTAGAGCCTTATAATCATTAAAACAAACACATATGCAACTGTAATGCACTAATAAAAATATTTAAAAGAAATTCAATGGCTCCCCATGATATAGAATAATCAAAACCAGGAAATGGGGCACTGGGGATTTTATACATAGGCGTAAACATAAAGTTGAAAAAGGAAAGGAGTGATCTAAAATGTGCTATAATGGTTTCCTATTGAAGGTTGGGGAAGACCCCTGTAAGATACAGGACATGAATTGCCTGTCATTAATGATGAACTGCTTCTGGGCAGGACAGTAGATGTGTGGGTGTCATTTTATTGACTTTGAACTATATGTTTACATTTTCATACATTTCTGGGCAGCCAAATTTCCCAGTTTAAAAAGAAATTGGGGGCTGGTGCTGGGGCTCAGTGGTAGAGCATACACCTAGCATGTGTGAGGCAGTGGGTTCGATCCTCAGCACCATATAAAGTAAAATAAAGATGGTGTGTCCACCTCTAACTAAAGAAATTTAGAAAAAAAGAAAAGAAATTCGGAAAAAAGAAACAACACACACATTCTCCCACTTTACAAAGAAAATATGCATCTGTGAATGCCTGAAAATAGCTGGTTATATGGAGTTTCACTGCAGTTCCTCGTGGGTATTTTATTTTACCTGGTATAACTTAGTTTTATGGGCTTAAAGGATTTGTGGCTCTAGAATCAACAGGGAACAATATCATGAGAGAAAGCTATATGAGAGAAGAAACGGAGACATATAGTATTTATGAGGCTATTTGGCATGATATAAATAGATACAGCTTTACCTCCAACACCAAACAAAAAATAAAATCACTATTACATATAAATGATAAAACTCAAATAGAACCATCTTAATATTCTAATGAACCAGCCTATCTAGTTCTACGTCTATTAATTCATAGAGAAGCTTAAAAAAAAAAAAAAAAAAGCAAAAGCAATCACTTGGATTTTAACTTGAAAACCTAGTCTCTAGAATTTCTAGTTTCACAAAAAATTTAGGTGGTATTAAGTACAAATCAATAAATCATATCACTTGGAGTGTGCTGTCTTTGTACAATATAAGAAATTGTCAGTTAACAAATTTTACAAATTATAAGATTAATGTTGCAGTAATTCCTACTGTGAAGAGCAATAATTTTGTTTACTTTCTTATGGGTTGAATTGTGTGTTAAAGTCTTCCTAATCCCTTTAGCATGTGACTTTACTCAGAGATAGGGCTTTTACATAGGGAATAAGGTTAATCTGTAACTCAAATTCTATTCAGATTAAGGAACTTCTTTGCTTCTAAATTGCATATACACTATACTAAACTTTTCCTTAGTCTCAGTTAACTCTGTTACTTCCAACATAGGAACAAGTCATATTTTTAAGATACTTGCCTAATTTCACTTAAAAATTGCTATTTTGTAGGTGAATTAGTGTATTCTTAAAACTGATTTTTAAGAACATTCAATTAAGTACATTGGACAGTTGGGGATTTTTGTTGTTGTTTTGTTTTTTCTTTTGCAGTACTCAGTATGGAACCTAGGGCCTAGAACATGCTAGGCAAGTGCTCAACCAGTGAGCTATGTTCCTATTCCTTTATATTTTATTTTGAGACAGGGTCTTGCTAAATTGTCCAGGCTGGCCTTGAACTCATTGCTTTTTGCTTCAGCCTCCTGAATAGCTGGGATTACAGGTTATGTGCCATTATGTCTGACTTTTTTTCTCTCTCTCTTTAGTAAATTTATTGTGCTTTTTATTTATTTGTTTGCTTTTTTATTTTTACCCTCAAGATACAGTGTCACGGGGGCCGGAGTTGTGGCTCAGTGGTAGAGTGCTTTCCTAGAATGCGTGGGGCACTCGATTTGATCCCCAGCACCATATAAAAACAAATAAAATAGAGGTACTGTGTCCATCTACAACTAAATATAAATATATATGATACACATATAAATATATGTATGAAACAATGTCACAAAAGTTGCCCAGATGACTTTAAATTGTTGGCCTAAAATTATCCTTTGCATGAGCCTCTGAGAGTGGCATGTGCTACTGTGCCTGTACTAAACAGGATATTTAGAAGCATACTGAATTCAAACATTTTGAAGACTACTTTATTTTTTTTAATATATTTTTAGTTGTAGATGGACACAATGCCTTTATTTTATTTATTTACTTTTATATGGTGCTGAGGATCGAACCCAGTGCCTCACACGTTAGGCAAGCACTCTACCACAGAGCTAAAATACAACCCTAGCCCTGAAGAAAGACTACTTTAATTGTTGCTCATAAAATGGAATTAAAACTAAATATGTAGTTCTACTCCAGTTTAGAAATCCAAAAATGTGACTACTAAACTAATAAGTTAATACAAAGAAAATTTAAAAACCTACATACTTTATTATACATTCTCTTTTTAAAAAAAATCTTGTCATCATCTAGGAAACAATAAGCATGTTTTACACTTAACTATTTTCAGTGATCTTCTGGACCTGTTAAACCCCAAAACTGATTGTTTTGACATTACATTTCTGCCATGACAGTGTAAAACATCTCTCTTCATAGTGCCATTTTAGGTTGGTACTAGGCAATACTGAGAATGAAATTGTAGGAGTATTTTGTAAATCTGCTTTGAACCAGAAGGCAGATTCTCTATAACCAGAAATATTAAAGGCACATGAGTTAGAGCTTTTGTAGACTACAGATCATCTTGATACTTATTCTTTGCTATCTTACAGATTCTAAATGGGCATCTGTGAGACCGTTTAGACTCTCAGGATACCTCACAGAACAGGACACAGGCTTCTCTGTACATAAGCTTTTGCTAACACAAGAATTTTAGTTAAGTTATGAAAGAAAATATCCTTGTGGGCCAAACCAACATATTTGGAAATGAATGCTACCCAAGTCTTTAATGCTGATCAAAGTTTTTTATTTAATTAAGCTGTTGATGCTTCTAACAATAAACTAAAAGACCTTAGTAAAGAAATAGGAAATCAAATCCTTGAATTAGTTAACTTTAATGTATGCAGAACCTTTAATACATATGGCCAGTAGAAATAACTTAAAAGTGATTATCCATACACATGATAAATTTTCAGAATTGAAAATAAAACACTTCTTTAGAATGCTTCTCAAGGGAAAAGGAGAAATTTTGAGAACAAATTTTGGATGAGAAGGGCATTTTAGCTTATACTTATGAGTCATTATCTATAAAAAGTTTCACAGGTACAGGTTGAGCATTCCTTATCTGAAATGCCTGGGACCAAAAGTGTTTCAGATTTTGGAATATTTACATAGATTTTACTGGGTGAACATCCCTATCCTGAAAATCCAAAGTAAAAAATACTCCAAAATCCAAAACGTTTTGAGCATTATATTAGCATTCCAGAAGTTTCAGACTAAAGATTTCAGATTAGGGATGCTCAAGGTATACCTATAATTCAGCCTTCTCCAGGCAATAGCTTTGTAGTAAACTGAGGCTTGTCCAAGTACAAATAAAGTTCACAAAGCTTGATAATCTAATAAAAATCTCTCTTCCTAAAGCCAAGCAGATAATTTTGGTGACTATCTAGAAATTAAGGAAGACATGTCTAGATGTAAAATACGATTTGCCGTGCTCCATCACCCATTACAACATCTATTTCAATCAAAGACTGTCACTAAGGACCTCCTCTTAATTCCCTACTTGCATTCTCGGAGACTCAAGACAAAAAAAATGAACAAGTAAAAGTTTTTCTTAGGCTATCAACAGGCAAAACCTTACCTATTTATTAGCTACACACCCTCCTACTATACCTGCTGCCAATAAAATGTTTGGAGCTAGTAAAAATTGCCATCAAATAAAAGTAGGAACTTGTTTCACTGGCTTTTCTCTGCAGGTTAAACTATGGCCATAGAAAACCATGCTCTGCATTGATTCAAATCTTTAAACTGTCTCATGGATATTATTCCTACATAATATACAGGTTATGTTACAATTTGAATTGCATTGGAAAAATAGCCAACAAGGTTATTTCTCAGAAGCTTCTAGCAAACAATCCTACATAATATACAGGTTATGTTACAATTTGAATTGTGCTGGAAAAATAGCCAACAAGGTTATTCCTCAGAAGCTTCTAGCAAACAATTCTTACAATTAGAACAATTTTTAATTGGACAATTTGAGAGCATAAACACCAATTCTATTGTTGGTAAGTTTGGCAAGTTTGTGTGAGTTCTTTATTAATTTAGGATATATTCCATATCCTTTCTCATTCACATTTTTAGAAAAATTACTTATTAGTCACTTATCTACCCAATACATATAAAACTCAATAAAATGAAAGGGTCCTATAACCAAATAAATATTTGATTTGCAAAAGATCAGATCATACATTTTCAAAATGTTGCTTGTGTGCTTATGCCTTATGTTTCATAGTACAGCAACACCCCCTTCACAACGACTAGTGATCATGTTACCAATTTCTGTCCAGGTATCTGAATGAGGGTTGTAAACTTCAACTGAGTCCAAGGTACCTGGGGCTAAGAAATCATGGCTGGAAGAGCGGCCCCCAGAAACATACAGAAGACCATTGACTGCTACAACACACATGCCTGCTCTAGGCACTTTCATTGAGGCAACTTCAACCCACTTTTCCTGGTTAAAAGAGAAAAATATAAATGTTAGTAGTGTCAGAAAATGGTAATAGAGAACATCTCTAAAAAGTCAGATATTCTGGGCTGGGGTTGTAGCTCGGTGGTAGAGAGCTTGCCTAGCATGTGTGAAGCACTGGGTTCAATTCTCAGCACTACATAAAAATAAATAAATAAAACAATATTGATAACTAAAACAATATTAAAAAGAAGTCAGATATTCTGGTTCTTTTTAAATCTCGAACACATTTAAATCTCAAACTAACAATCCAGGTAGATTTATTTAGAACATTTTTAAATTAATGAGTTGGCATGGACAAAATAATGAATTTAGAGGAAAATAATAGGAAACATGTCTGATTGAAAATTATGATCAGGAGGGCTGGGGTTACGGCTCAGTGGTAGAACATTTGCCTAGCATGTGTGAGGCACTGGGTTCGATTCTCAGCACCACATAAAAATAAAATAAAGAGATTGTGTCCACCTAGAACTAAAAAATAAATATTTAAAAAAATTATGATCAGGAGATTATATATAAATCATATATAGGATGAAGTTCTGAGAAACTTAAGTCTATGGAATACAACGTTACTAATGTCCTACTTCAGGGAAACTATCTATTCCAAGAAAACAGAAAAGCTAATAATAAGTAGAGAAAACAGCAAGTAGCCAGGTAATCGAAGAATAGATTATCGGTAAATAAAGCATACAATGAACTAAATTTTTTAAATCATAAAAGTGAACATTGGGGGTTGTTGGGGTTGTAGCTCAGTGATAGAGCACTTGCCTAGCATGTCTGAGGCACTGGGTTGAATCCTCAGCACCACATAAAAATAAATAAATAAAGGAATTGTGTTCATCTACAACTAAAAAAAAATTCTTTTAAGTAAACACTGATGCTAAAAATGAACTTTTTGGCAGAAATTCAATGAGGTTCTGACCTTAGTACCCAGTTTAGACAAATCAGAACTTCAATGAAATTCTGAAATACCAAAACCAGAGATAATTCTTTGAAATTGAAGGATCAGATTAAATTTGAAGGCTATGATCACCTATAACTATGGAACACATCACAAAGCTAATATAGCTTTAAAAAAATACATCTTAACAGATAGACAAATGCACAAAATACCCATAATTGATTTATATAAATTAGGATGCTTTGGGGTTATGTTTATAATTAGAACTAACCTTTACTCTCTCACAAAGTGCCCTATGACTAGAACAAGGGATCATGAAGTTCATTCTATGTTGCTGTTGTTTTTTCCATTTCTATTTGTGTAGTAGAACAATATCTGCTCTTTATTCCAAGTGACCTCAAAATAGTTTGTAAGACTAGAAGTGTGCTTTATATAGCTTTAGGATTTGGATCTATGATGTAAGACTTTAGTAGATAGTAGCAATACAATTTCAGATTAATGCATTAAAAAACCAAGATAACTCACTATTGAAAAGCACTAATTTTGGAACTAAAACCTATTTATTTCACAATCATACAGAAAAATCAGTAACATAAAATATCCTCAAAAGATTCACTTTCTACATTACATAGATCCAAATGAGATCAATGTAAAAGGTGAAAATTATTTGAAGTATCACCCAAGTTTGAAATTTATCAGAAATGAGAATCAAAATCCTTATGCTTTACAAGATATGGATGCCCCTTTTTGACACTTCTATTCAACACTGTTACAGAACTTCTAGCAGGGAAATAAGGAAAGAAAATGAAATAAAATGCATCTAGATTATTATACAGACTTATAAAGTCAAACAATCTCTATTAGTAGATGTAGTCTTGTATATAGAAAAATCCTGAGGAATACACCCGTACACATGCGCGCGTGCACACACACGCATATAAGTCTGGTACAGCACTTGCCTAGCATGTGCAAGGCCCTTGGTTTGATCTCTATACAACAAAGCAACAAGAATAAACTGGTGACCTATGAATGCAGCAAGGTTGACATCAACAAGATCAATATCCAAAAATTAACTGCATTCTACACACTTAAAATGAACATTTGAATATGAAAATAAGAAAACAATTCACTTTATAATAGCATCAAAAAGAATAAAACAATTTGGAATAAATCAAAACAACAAACTACAAGGACTGAAACCTATAAAGCATTGTTGAAACAAAATGAAGATGACATAAATAAAAGGAAAGATCCCACGTTTATGAATTAAAACTTAATATTGGTAAGATGACAATACTGTTCCAATTGATCTCAGATTCAATGCAAGCCCTACCAAAAGAATAAAAATAAATAAAACCCAAAACAAACAACCCAACAAACTCAGCTGGCTTCTTTGCAGAAACTGACAAGCTGATTCTAAAATTCATATGAAATTCAAAGGATAATCCAATTTTTAAAAGAGATCAGGCAGATTCACACTTTCTGATTTTAAAAGTTATTGCATTGCTGCAGTAGTTAAGACAGTGTAGTATAGGCATAAGGGTAGACATGTAGATAAATGAAGAGAATTAAAATCCCCCAATTTAACCCTCAGATATATGATCAATCAATTTTCTTTTTTTAAAATAATTATTTTAGTTGTAGTTGGACACAGTACCTTTATTTTATTTGTTTTTATTTTTATGTGGTGCCAGGGATCGAACCCAGTGCCTCATGCATGCTAGGCAAGTTCTCTACCACTGAGCCACAACCTGGGCCAACAATTTTTAACATAGACACCATGACAATTCAATGGAGATAGAATAATCTTTTCAATAAATGGTATTGGGGGCTGGAGCTTTGGCTCAAGCGGTAGTGCCCTCGCCTGGCATGCTTGCGGCCCGGGTTCGATCCTCAGCACCACATACAAAGATGTTGTGTCCGCCAAGAACTAAAAAATAAATATTAAAAACTCACTCTCGCTCTCTCTCTCTCTCTTAAAAAATTGGGACAATTGCCCAAAGGTAAAGGAATAAAGGTGAACCCCTACTTCACACTATATATGAAAATTAAATCAAAGACTTAAATACAAGAGTTTAAACTATGAAACTCTTAGAAAAAACATAGATGTAAATTTTCATGACCTTAAATTAAGCAATGTTTTTTTTTTCAGTTACAACACCAAATGAACAAGTAACAAAAGAAAAAAAAAAACACATTGGATATCAAAGTGTGAACTTGTGGTTCTTTTTTTTTTAATATTTTATTTTTTAGTTGTAGTTGGACAATACCTTTATTTTATTTATTTATTTTTATGTGGTGCTGAGGATCGAACTCAGGGTCTTGCATGAGCTAGGCGAGCACTCAGCTCCAGCCCTGAACTTGTAGTTCTAAAAATACAATTAAGAAAGTAAAGACTGGGTTGGGGTTATGGCTCAGTAATAACATACTCGTCTGGCATGTGTGAGGCACTGGGTTCAATACTCAGCACCACATAAAAATAAATAAATTAATTAATTAAAGTTATAAAAAATAAAAGAAAACCCTTAGAATGACAGAATTTAAAAAAATAGTTGTAGATAGACGGAATACCTTTATTTTATTTACTTATTTATATGTGGTGCTGAGGCTCCACATATACACATGCTAGGCAAATAATCTATCAACTGTAGCCCCAAGATAATTTTTTTTTCAAATCATATATCTGGCAAAGGACTTGCATCTAGACTATATAAGGAACTCTTACAACTCCATAATAAAAAGATAAATAATCCAATTTTAAAATGGACAAATTAAGTAGATATTTCTTCAAAGAAGATATAATAATTACCAATAAACACATGAAAAGCTGTTTCAATTTTAAAATGAAATACAAATTCACCCCTAATTGGAGAGCTATTAAAAAAAAAAAAAAGCCTTGGATATGGAGTTACTGGAATCATTATATACTGTTTGTGATTTTATAAAATAGTGAAGTCACTTCAGAAAACACTCTGGCAGTACCTAAGAAGGTTAAAGACATTTACCACATGAACCAGCAATTCTACTCCTAAGTATATACACAAAAGCAGTGAAAATATGTCCACATAAACATGTTTGAACCTGAACTTTCACAATCAAAAAGTAGACACAATCAAAATGCTGAATTACTTCCCAATAAAGCTGTTAAATGCCAGGCATAGTGGCACACACCTATAATCCCAGCAGCTCGGGAGGATGGGGCAGGAAGACCAAGAGTTCAAAGCCAGCCTCAGCAATTTAGCAAGGCCCTAAGCAATTCAGTGAGACCCTGTCTCTAAATAAAATATGAAAAAGGGCTAGGTATGTGGCTCAGTGATTAAATTGTTGTGGGTTCAATCCCCAGTACCAAAAACATAAAAAATTTAAAGAATGAAGTAAAAATTAGTTTTCCATGGAAATTAATTTGGACATGTTTGATAAAATTTATCATGTCTGAAAGTGGAAATCCTTCCTGTGTCCTTTTGATATATTCCCATTATTCAAGTCTAAGGCATAACACATCTTGTACTTCAGTATCTTAGCAGTTAAAGTTTTATAATGTAATTGTCTATTTATTTCTCCATATTCCCCACTACAATGTATCTTCCTTGAGAACAGGGTCATATATGTTTAGTTTGTTCTTCTTTCTGGGCATAGTGCCTGATTCCTATTTACATACTATGAAATCTGTAAGTATTTCTGATGGATAAATGAACCAATGAACAAATACTTGATAGAATAGTGAACCAAAGCTGACACACCCAACCTTTTCCTGTCTTTTTCTTCTTTTCCCTTCTAGCACAATTGAGTCAACTCAGTAACTGAGAGCATGAGGGAACATGGAAGAGCTCACATGGACAGTGATGGGATAGGTAATGCATGGAGGTGACAAGTAGAGAAGACAGTGAGTATGCTAGGGAGATTGGTTTCATCTAGCAAGTAAGTAAATTGAATGAACAAATAAGTAAATATATTGATAGTAATAGGAGTCAAGTTTTTAGTCGACAAGGAAGATAGTATGTAAATATGGAAAGGAGAAAGGGCTGAAAAAAACTTGAAGTGTTGTACTGGAATTGACGCTGTCACATGAACTTACGGTTTTATT